AATGGCAAAAACAAGTGAGGTATGAACATACTTTACCTGTTTTTTAATCCAAAGGAATAAGGATAGAGGTAAATCCAAGATAAAAATAAAATAAAATAATGAGAATATAGGAGGGTGTATGGGTTATGATAGAGAAGTAAAGACCAAAAACCAGACACAAATGAATGAACTGATACAACGGATGGCGCGAACATCAACATGGACAAACTAGCTTATGCACGTTTTTCCTTCCCTCGGATTGCGGAGAGAAGGTTTGATATTTCCAGGGATGGAAGGAATTTTAATGTTAATTTATTTTGGTTCATAAGGGAAAAGTTACCCATATTTATTTAAGTTGCTTGTTCAAAATATTTTAATAAAATATAACTATAAACGACTCTTAATATATAAATATATTCAAAATTATATTGTATGATTATACTTATAATATATATACAATAATAATTATAACCATTGATATTTTTAATATAAACAACGATTGATATCTAGTAGCTAAAAAATGGAACTATTATGAAGATGGCAAAAAATATATACAGTTCTAACTCGTTTATAGTCTACAAACGAGTCTCTATAATTAGGATCAGAGGTAGCATATCTGGCATTGTGAAACATTGATTGCCTGCGAGGGAAATTTCCCGCTCATATATGGTAGAAGGCTCTTAATTATCTAGATTTTTTTTCTTTCGTGGAAGATTTACCTGCCCTCCTAAACATTTTGCTCTGCGACATTTTTATTTCATTTTTCTTGTACAAGGTATGGATAATTGTTTATAGGTTGTGAAGGAAATAGCTAATGCCAGGAGCTCACCTTCATGCTAATATGACAACTTGACAACAGATTCAATATGTGGCACTAACTATTTTAACTTTACAGTTATTTTCTCTTTATGGAAGCCAATATTAGTTTTTGCTTGCTCTATTTTTCAGATCTTGGCGGCCACGTACAACTATATTAGGTAATCCCTTGACTACTCCAACAGATTTATCCAGTTCATAAGAGTGTGAATATGGATAGTTTAATAACTGGCCAAGTAATAATAATGAAGTACTAGTTAAGGGCACGTTCTAATTATTAATGTCCTGTTTCAAATTTTCATGAACAGTTTATCATACTCTTGGTAAAATTGTTCCGGGGACTCCATTTGTCATTGCCCTTCTGATCTAAAAAAATGGAATAAACTATTCATGAGCAGTATAACTTCATACACAGGGACAGAGTTAGGATTCAAGGATAAAGGAGGCCAGATAAAAAGATACAGTATGAAAGTTAATATAAATTTTGTTCACAAAAAAGAGTTAATGTAAATTTTAATGGCCACAAATATAATATATACCTATATAATACCATTATACCAATAAAACTAAAAATTTTCGAGGCCATCGCTCCTGTCAATCCCTGTCTCTGCTTGCCTTGTTGTATATACAAATATTTGACTTAAGGGGTAAATTTGTTCAGGAAGTTTGACTTAAGAGTAATGGGAACTCAAAAATTTTTATTCATATAAAATTTTTCCAAAACTTTAAAATTCTAACAATTCTACCTCTTATCCTTAAAAATGTTAACAGTTAGTATCCCTGTTTTAACGGTCAATACTAGTTTTTTGATGATAGGGGTAAAATTGCCACTATTTTGTACTTTTAAGGCAAAGTTGCAACAAAAAAACTTTCAAGTGCCTAGCTCTTGAATGAAAATTTTAAGACAAATTTACATCTTAAACCCATATATATTTTTTGGGAGGTTGTTTTTCCTGATTTTGAAGGAATTTGGTGGGGAATCACAAATATCAGTGTATTGACTCAGAAGTAGGATGGGAGGAAAATAAGATAGGATTAACAACTATATTGGGATCCTTCTTTTTCATGATTGAAATTTTTTTAAAAAAAATAAATGATTGGTGGTATTAATGGAGATGCTTTCCTTGACCACATGGACATGGGCGCACCATAACATTTTCGGAATTCCATCCATTCATATCTAACCTATCTGATTCTCTTGGAAGCTGTGGCCGAAGCTTCTCTGTTTCTATTCCTTTCCAGCCACGGAATAGCAATATACTTCTTTCATTTTAATTATGTTCATATGAAGAATCAAGAAGGCTTAGCTATTTGCTTTCTATGATCCATTATATTCTTCTATAATCAAGTACTGAGGGCTCAGAACTACACACAAACACAATCGATGACAGAACCGCACAATTTAGAAGGCAAATATTTACAATACCAAGTTCATATAATATTTGACTGTTACTGACTTTCACTCTACTTCCTGGATTATTTCTAAACCTTGCATCAGATTTCTTGCTTGTACATTGGCCGTTTCTCTTGTTGAAGGGCCATCAGAATTAAAAGGATTTGGAGGTATTGATAATTTGTCTCCTTCTCCTTCCAACATTTGAACAACTACTTGTATTGATGGTCGATCCACAGTATGCCATTGAATGCACCACAGGCCTACTATTCCCAATTTTCTTGCAATTTTAGCATCCCCTTCTTCGTCAATATGAATCCTCACAGCCTCCCTTTCTTCTAAAATATTATAGATCCATTCAGGATAGTAAATGTAGGGAGCATTTTCTCTTGTGTCATGGGTGATCCTTCTTCCTCCTATTAATTCAAGTGGCAACATCCTGAAACTATAAACATCTGTTTTGTGAGATACGCTTCCAAAATTTCGTGAGAAGACCTCTAGAGCAATGTAACCCGACGTTCCTCTAGCATTAGTCATTGACACTATGCTTTGATCTTTGAAGCACAATTTAGCCAACCCAAAATCACATATTTTCAGAGTAAAGTCATCATCCAATAAAACATTGTGAGGTTTGATGTCAAAATGAAGTATGCATTGCTTGCACCCTTGATGAAGATATTCAATTCCTTTGGTTATACCTAAAGCAATTTCATGTAGCTTTTTCCAACCAACAAGGTTTTGCATATTGTCTGGTGAATTTATGAAATTTTGTAACGAACCATTTGGAAAGTATTCGTAAACTAGTGCTCTTCTAAAGCCATCAGCACATAAGCCCATTAAGCGAATAATGTTGACATGATGGATTTTGCCCATTGTTCCAACTTCAGTGATGAATTCTTCACCATTTCCTTCAGAATTAGTGAGGATCTTCACTGCAACTTTGAACTCAGATGAAATGTTTCCTTTGAACACAGTACCGAAAGATCCTTCCCCCAAGACTTCAAAGTGATTGGTAATCCTCTTGATTTCAGCATAAGAATATCTGGTGGGCTTGAGAGCTCTACAGTCTTTCAAAAACTTCTCAATTATTGCTTGGCTTTCTTTCCGTGGTTTCTAAGAGTTGCTGATATAAAGAATTGCAACAAGAGTACTCACCACTAGAAGTGAGCTCGTGATTGATCCTGCACATATAATAAGAATTTGAATATTTAGTTTTCAAAAGTATAACGTGCTCGCAGTAGATTATACTAAGTTCATTTTGGAAGCTAACCTGTAATTACGAATTTGTTTGATGAACCTGCAGAAGAAATTAACATGATTGGTCAGCTAAGCATGTCGATATAAATATTCCAAAGAAGTCACGCCTTATCATTTGAAGAACATTGATGCTCGACATGAGGCAAGAAATGTGTGGTGATTTTATATGTTTATTAGAACAGATGATTAACTACATTCTAGGACAAATGCTACAGTCAGTTTATGTAAATGATATAAATTGCCATACATATATATTGAAAAAGAAGGGCAAAAGTTTTGATGGAAGAGTTTCATATTACCACTGTGATGATCCCCGAAACATGTAATATCATAGCTGATATTACTATTCTTGAATCCACATCTTGTTCCATTTGATTCACAATGTTTGCACATTGGATTAGATCACATCAAATGAAGAGTGTTCTCAACATCAGAAATCTCAAGTGGGACAGATGAAATGTTAAATATTTTGCTGCAAAATAATAAGGGAAGTTGTCCAATCTCGTGATAAGACAAAATGGCATACACATGGGAAGCAGAGCTGCCGAGGCACGTTGAAATAATCGCTCCATCTCTTGGCGATGAGCAATTGAAAACTGTAAAGTCATTAAGATTCTGGTCTATGAACTGGAAAGGAGAATGAAGTAGAGTGAGATTATGGACATGCCTTGGAAGCCAACCAGAAGGATCAAATAACTAAATGGTTTGAGATTTGTAATCAATATGTTTGACACTGAGCTTGACTGATCCAGGAAGCTCAAGAACAACATGTTTGGCAAAAGAACATTCTAAATCAAACCCAGGATAGCCGCATTGTTCTGATTGGCATCCTTTTACTCAGAAAGGAAACCGAACAGGAAGTTTTCCACGTGATTTTTCAGGTTCTGGACGGCTATTTGAGCTTCCTACAGACCCCAAAAACCTAAGAGTTAGCAACAAGCATACAGAGAAGAAGGAGTTTACGACTGCAGTTTCCATATCTCCAGCGTTTATTGTGCCAAGTAGCTAAGATAAATTGCATCTAAAATACGAAGTCTTAGAGACTTTTTCAAACAAGGTTAGCTTCCCAATAATTTCCCCACATGGCATACCTACCACCTTATGTGCAGACACGCCTTTATGAATTATATATTGACATCATATATGCTATCAAGTTGGCGAGTGGCAATTTCTTGATTGCAATAATATTGAAATATATGGCTCGCTAGCTTTATAAGTCTTTTTCTTATTTACTCTTTTTCATTTGGAGATCTTGAGAATCATGTATTCCTCTTCAAGAAAATTACTGGTCGCTCTGTTTCTGATAATGTTATTCTGCAGAACTTGCAAGGCATCGGATGGACACAAAAACTGCTCTTGTTTATGTAGAGATCACAACATTAGCAACCCTTTCTGGCTAAAAGAATCTCTAGAGGAGTGTGGCGATTAGAGGTACAACCTATCTTGCGAGCACAACCAATTGGTAATGTACTGGCAATCTGGGAGATACAGTGTTGTGTCTATTAATTATGAGAACTACACAATATGAGTGAGGGATGCTAATTATGAGAACACAAATATGATAGACGTAAGGTGCAAACACCCTGTGGATTCCCCTGGGTTTGTGAACATAACTCCTTGCTTTAACACTTCAAATGGCTCTGTGGGTTCTTCTTCTTCTAATCTTCTTCTTCTTCATCATCATCATTGAATTAGTATGCCAATGTCGACAGCGGATACGTAGGAGATGTGGGGCTCGAGGATGATTGCCGTATAGAAGTGATGTATATGACTTCGTGGCCTGCTCTGAAAAACCAGTCCAGTTCCTGCACAGACATCCACAATATGCTTCTTTGTGGCTTTGAGCTCTCTTGGATCAACAGTTTCTGCCCGCATTCTGGACATGATTATGAAATAATTCTCGGCGTCGGTGGTGAGAAACCACGCTGTCAAATAGGTAAGTCCATTAATTGTTTTTTTTCCCTGCTTACGTTGATGGTCCATTATTAAATTTTGATGTAATTCTGGTTGCCAATAATATTATACAAGTGGTACAAAACCATTTTTTGGGAAAAATATATCATTTTTTGGTTCAGGGTGTGTGTGTGTCATATATTCATATGCATTACCCTGTTATCGTATATATTTTTAAAATAAAAAATATAATTAAAAAAACTAGTGTGGATGAAATTGAATTCGTTTGGTTTGTATATGCAATAAAGAAAGCAATAAACTATCTAGTCAAGAGGAAACTATCCATTAGCCTTAGCGCACTGAGATGACTATTTTTCAAAGAGGAATCTATCCATTACCCCAAGCACACTGAAATGACTATTTTTTGTTATTGACAAATTTGGAAGGTATTACTTGTGTTTTGAAAAGAATGCTTTTCTGTTTGAATTTTTTTAATCCATAAAAACATTTAAATACTTAAAAGTAAAGAGTTAGCAACACACGGACAGAATAAAATCTTAATCATTATCATATTATCAGTAAAATATTTTTTTTGCCCGCATCTTGTCAGTAAAATCCATATACCATATCCCTGTACTTGTACATTTGTTTATCTGGTGTAGCAGTGGCAAGTGGCATTTTTAAAATGATCCTTTTAATTATCCTGGGTAAGGCACTCCATCATAACTTCTAGCTTCTTTGATTCCATCTTGCATAAAACATCCTTGCAAGTTGCACTGTAATGAGGATCTCACAGAAAAAGAAAGTCAAAGATCTCTACTGCTCATGTATAACACTCTTATGAATTTACTTAGACATCAACCTTTTTCCCCTTTCACAAATGATTTTTATGACCTATTCATTTGATTATTACTCCTCCGATTTTTAATATAGGACTTAATTATTGAGTTGATTTTAGTCTCAAATATAAAACTTATTTCTCATATTTATCAAATTTTTCGAAATTACCCTTATGAATACTCTCTCAACTATAATTAAGTAGAAAAGGGAGATGGGATATTAAGGAAGATAATTATGGTGTTTTAGAAAAAACATGTCATATTTCTTATGATTAACTAAGTTACCTAACTTTCTTAATTTAATCAAATTAATTAAATAGGTCTTATATTAAGGACTAGAAGAGTATAATCTTTATTGAAAAATAGTGTACTTTTATTTTATTTTTCTTGTACGATGTACATAATTGTTTATAGGTTGTGAAGGAAATAGCTAATGCCAAGAGCTCACCTTCATACTAATATGTATTCAATATGTGGCACTAACTCTTTTAACAATACAGTTATTTTCTCTTTATGGAAGCTAATATTAGTTTTTGGTTTTTCTATTTTTCAGATCTTGCAGGCTACGTACACACTATATTAGGTAATCCCTTGACTACTCCAACAGATTTATCTAATTCATAAGAGTGTGAATATGAATAGTTTAATAACTAGCCAAGCAATAATAATGAAGTACTAGTCCAAGGGCACGTTCTAATTTTTCAAATTTTCATGAACGGTTTATCATACTCTTGGTAAAATTGTTCTGGGGACTCCATTTGTCATTGCCCTTCTGATCTATAAATGTCTGCGGAGACTTATAATTAACTAACTTTCCTAACTTCTTTAATCTAATCAAATTAGTTAAATGAGTCTTATATTAAAGACCGGAGGAGTACTTCGTTTTGTATGTTTAAAAAATGGTAATATTTTGCAATACTATATCTGGTGTTATAATAACATGATAAGGATAATAAGTAAAATAGCATATAGTATCTTGATGATATTTTCCGTTGGCATCATCAATAGTTCACAACCATCATACATTTGGTATTTTCTTAGTTATATAAGGAATATATAAGTTTTCTTTTTTCGATGTCATTTTATTGTTATTGAATTTTTTATTTTACAATTTTCCTAAAACATCATAACCATCTTTCTTAATACCTCTCTCCTTCTTCTACTTGATTATGGTTGAGGGCGTATTCATAAGAGTAATTTAGAGAAAATTGATAAATATGAGAAATAAGTTTTATATCTAGGACCAAAACAAACTTAACAATTGGGTCTTATATTAAGGACTGGAGGAGTATTAGTAATTAACCTCATTCCTATTACGTAATAATGCATTCTAACACTAATCTCCTACCTAATATTACAACGTAAAGTCACCGTGATTCGCGAGGTTAGAGCCGTAGGAGAACTTCTCCTAAATGTTAACTAAACACTTTGAACAAATATTCAACATATCTTTATTAATACATTTCATATACTGCCTTCCCCTGATCTTTAATGTAAGAGCTAGTCAACTAATTTAAGTGAATTAAGAAAGTTTGTTAAGTTAATTATTTATAATAAATATGTGTTATCTTTTCTCTAATAACCTTGCTAATTATGTGTATTAGATAGATGGAGTCTTTATTAACATGTACAACTTCTGTAAAGACGACTTTGAAAAAAATAGTTAAACATGAAAAACAAGATGAATTGGAATATTATATTTAGGATCAAATTAAAAGTCAAATTAGTTCTTATATTAAGCATCAGAGATAGTATTTTTCATTAGTGGCATTTATGTTCTGATTCTTTTTTTTTTAATTATTATTGGTGTCTGATTCTAATTTTTATTCACGCTTTGATTTCAATTAAACTTATTTCATATGCAACAATCTAAAACTTATGTGATAAAGGTGGAGTGCCGATATCTAGCTCTTCTATTTATATTGATTGAAGGCTTTTCAATCATAAAAACTTCTCTTGTAGTTATCGTAAAAAAATAATTAAAAAAAAAACGACACACACTAGTTCGCATTTCAACAATTATAATATAATCATTCATTGAAAATATTAGATATTATTATCCCAAGAAAATGGAGTCACATGCATAATGTTTTAACAATATGATCGACTTATTTCAAGGAATTCCAAAAACAAGGGATAAGGATAGAGAGAACCAGCATAAATTAAAGGCCAAAAATGATAAAAATAAGTTCCAGTTATGCAGAGTGTATATGTATTGACAGGGAATTAAAGCGACTAATGGACTTACCAAGTAGATAGGGCCAATAAAGGTCAAAGCCGTAAAGAAGCATATTGTGGATGTCTATGCAGGACCAAGACTGGTTGCTCTGCGCAGTAGGACACGACATCATATATATCAGTTCTATACCACAACCATCGTCTAATCCCAAACCACCGAGAGTTCCGTAGCCAACATTCACATGTACATACGAATACGAAGACGAAGAAGCTGCAGACCCCTTTGAAGTGTTGAAGCAAGGGGCTGTGTCCACAAACCCAGGGGAATGCACAGAGTGTTCACACTTCACGAACATCATCATCATATTCCTGTAGAGCGGTCCATAGCATATCACAACTTCATTTTCATTGTTGAAGTTGTAGTATGTTAAAGAATACTCAGGTAGGGAGGAGGAATCCAACTCCACAATATTAGCATCCCTCACTCTGATTGTGTAGTTCTCATAATCAATGGACAAAACACTGTATCTCCCAGAGTGTTAGTTCATTACCAGTTGGTTGTGCTCGCAAGATAGGTTGTACCAGCAGTCACCACACCGCTCTGGAGAGTCGTTTAGCCGATAAGGGCTGCTAACATTAAGATCTCCACACAAATGAGAACAGTTCTGGCGTCCACCATCTGATGCCTTGCAAGTTCTGCAGAATAACATTATCAGAAATAGAGCCACCAGAAATTTTGTTGATAAGGAACACATGTCCCTTGTCATGATGGTCTCAAAACAGAGAGTTATTAGTGATCTCAACTCTGGAAAGACATATAAAAGGCCTTCCAACCTTGTATATCATACAATCAAGAAGTTTCCTAGAAATTTTTTTTTTTGACACCGACAGCATGGCAGCACTGTAAAAAAATTGACAAACGTGTGTGTATTCACACCATCATAGAGGTGTTTCTTATCACCGAAAGGTTGCATTGAAATTATACTAAAGTTGACACTTGATAGGACTTCCAATAATTCACAAATGAGGAGAGAGTTTATTGACGTAAGCACATACATCATACAAGGAAAATCCTGGGAAGCTACACTTGTCCGGAAAAATATCTTGGTTTCATATTTGAGATGAAATCAGGAACTTGTTATCTCATCTTGCCACTCCGGGGAAACCAAGAAATGGAAACCTCACTTGTAAACTCCTCTTTCTTTGTATGCTTATTTCTAATTCTTGGGTTTCCAGAGTCTGTGGGAAGCTCCAATAGCTGTCCAGAACCTAAAACAAAGTGTGGAAACCTGCCTATTCGGTTTCCTTTCCGACTAATAGAATGCCAACCAGCACAGTGTGGGTACCGTGGGTTTGATTTACAATGTCCATCTACCAATCATGCTGTTCTTGAGCTCCCTGGGTCAGTCAAGTTCAATGTCAAACACATCGATTACAAAAACCAAATCATTCAATTATATGATCTTTCTGGCTGTCTCTTGAGGCATGTCCGTAACCTCAATCTGTACCCTTCCCCCTTCCAATTCATATCCCCACAAAACTACACCCTTTTCAATTACTCATCCCCAAGACATGGAGAATTCTTTTCAACGTGCCTCGACAGCTCTACTTATCAAGTATATGCTGTTTCTTCTAGCGCCTATATCGATGACCTAATTCCCCTGTTTTCTTGCAGCAAAATATTTGACATTTCATCTGTCCCACCTGAGATTTTTGATGTTGAGAACACACTTCATTTGATGTGGTCTCATCCAAGGTGCCAATATTGTGAATCAAATCGAACGAGATGTGGATTCAACAAGAGGAATAGTAGTGATATTGCATGTTTCGAGGTTCTTTACAAAGGTGATATTCATGTCTTGCATCAAATTAAACCTGCTCCACTTTTTCAAGCTGTATATCATTTAGATAACTCGACCATGGCATGCATCCATGAATAAATATATATATGTGTGTGTGTATATAATCACCCATAATGAGCATACGAAGTCACATGAACATACACATTTCTTGTCTCGTGAAAAACATCAGAGTCCTCACATTTTAAGTCATAATTGGGTTAAGTTATCATGTGAACATGCTAAATTGATCAATCATGTTAATTTCTTTTGCAGACTCATCAAACAAATTTGTAATTCCAGGTCAGCTTCAAGTTGAACTTGGTATTTTCTCCTAAAAGCCAATTGTTTTGATTTTGAAACTAAATTCGAGCTCTCACGTATGCAGGATCAATCTTGGGCTCACTTCTTCTAGTGGTGACAACGGTTGTAATTCATTATGCTCGCAACTCCTACAAATCACGGAAAGAAAGCCAAGCAATAATTGAAAAGTTTCTGAAAGATTATAGAGCTTGCAAGCCAACCAGATATTCTTATGCTGAAATCAAGAGGATTACCAATCAATTTGATGTCAAGTTAGGGGAAGGATCTTTCGGCACTGTGTTCAAAGGAAGCATTTCATCTGAGTTCAAAGTTGCAGTGAAGATCCTCACTAATTCTGAAGGAAATGGTGAAGAGTTCATTACTGAAGTTGGAACAATGGGCAAAATTCATCATGTCAACGTTATTCGTTTAATGGGCTTTTGTGCAGATGGCTTTAGAAGAGCCCTAGTTTACGAATACTTTCCAAACGGTTCATTACAAAATTTCATAAATTCACCAGATAACAGGCAAAACTTTATTGGTTGGAAAAAGCTCCATGGTATTGCTTTAGGTATAGCCAAAGGTATTGAGTATCTTCATCAAGGGTGTGAACAACGCATACTTCATTTTGATATCAAACCTTACAATATTTTATTGGATGCTAATTTCACTCCAAAAATTTGTGATTTTGGGCAGGCCAAATTGTGCTCTAAAGATCAAAGCATAGTGTCAATGACTAATGCTAGAGGAACTTTAGGTTACATTGCTCCAGAAGTCTTCTCTCGAAATTTTGGAAATGTATCTCATAAAGCAGATGTTTATAGTTTCGGGATGTTGCTACTTGAAGTAATAGGGGGAAGAAGCATCACCCATGACACGAAAGAAAATGCGACCCATATTTACTATCCCGAATGGATCTATAGTATTTTAGAAGAAAGGGAGGATGTAAGGATTCATATTGAGGAAGAAGGAGATGGTAAAATTGCAAGAATGTTGGGAATAGTGGGATTGTGGTGCATTCAGTGGCATCCTGTAGATCGACCATCAATGCAAGCAGTGGTTCAAATGTTAGAAGGAGAAGAAGACAAATTACCAATCCCTCCGAATCCTTTTAATTCTGAAGGTACATCAACCAGAAAAAGGGCCAGCGTGCCTACAAGAAGTCTGATGCAAGGTTTAGAAATAATCCAAGAAGTAGAGTGACAGTCAATAATGATAAAATATTAACCGGTTTGGTTGATTTGGAAGTTTGCCTTTTGTTGTGTGCTGTTGTGTCATTTGTGTGCGTATGTTGTTTGAACCTTGTTTCTTGAGAATAGAAGGATGCAACATGTAAAGCATATATCTAAGACTTCTTTGTTTTTTCATATGATATGCGTTCAAACCGAGCATAATTGCAGTTTGTAATGGTCAGAATTTATCGCCAATAATTAACATTGGAAATGGATCATCGCTACATATTCTCTCTCAATATCTGCTCTCTTCATAATCTAGCTGTAATAGGCATGATTAATTATCAGTTAAGGGGGAAATATCTCATTCATTCTTAATTAGCATGTTTTTCATATATAAATAGCAGATAAAGCTTTCATGTGGGTTTGCTGTAAAAGGTTTCTATAATGCCCATGAAGTTTACCAAATGTTGGGGAATAATCCATAGATCGACATTTTAGATCACGTAAGGACAAAGAAGTATCAAGATATACAAAGAATAAAATTATAAGGATACAATTCCCATTGACATTCTCCACATATGTACATGTACTCGAAGTATATGTTTAATAAAAATTAAGAACACGAACAAGAAAACTTGAGTTTCAAATTCGAAATATACTTGCTATGTAGCAGAGCATAAGATATTAAATTGATAGTTTGTGCAATACAACAACTGATGGAATCTCAGCTTAGAAGTTCGCGTAAGAGAGAAGAAATGAAAGAACAATACTCCTCTAGTCTTATTTACAGGACAGAAAAGATATTTTTTTGTCCTATTTATGAGGTACTGAGAGAAATTTTTTGTATGGATATTCAATTTCACCCTTCATTTATTATTATGTTGACTTTGATTATATGAGGTATAATGTATATCAAATAAAGATAAAATTACAAAATTGTTGAATTTTAAATGAGCGTTAATAAAGTTTAATGTTTTTCTTTATTTGTGTGAAACATGTTAGAAATAACTTATGAATAGGACCAGAGGAGTATATAATTTGCATAATTTTTTTAGACTTAGAACTCATAATCTATGTAAGTATTATATATTCAAGTGCTAAATCTGAACATCCCTTCTCAGATAAATTTTTTTTTTTTTTTTTGACCAGACCTTCTCAGATAAATTTGAATCTTGATTTATTACATTTGTAAAAGATTAATCTATTCTGCTAAACCTAATCTTTATTAGCTTTCTATTGGAGACTTGTTCTAACCAAAGACGCATAAAACATGTGGATATAATGAGCCAGCTCAAAATGATGCTGACTAAAATTCAACATAGTTTTTATTAAAATTAATTGTGTAAATCCCAACGTTTTCATGTAGAAGAAAAATAAACTTGTAGATGAGTTAGATTACTCAAAGACTCAAGATCAATGTATTTACAAAAATATTTATAAATTGTTTATCAATGAGATGTTGGTATTGATAATAAGATTTAAATTCAAATTCTTATGAAATAAATATAAATTATATCCTTATTAATTGGATCAATTTTTTTTGTACTACACATGCCTATTTTTTCCCTTCTTTTAAAGACACCTCCATTGCCCAAAATTTTCAAAACAAGTGCGATTTTAATTTACTTGTCCTTTAAAAGCGGAGAGCCAAATGAAACTGAATGAAGAATTGATGCTTCAGCGAAAGTTTCCAGGACAGCGAGATTAGATATGAATTTCGAATATGTGGTTGCTATGGCTTAGACGTCGTCAACGAAAGGGACAACCCTATCTTCCATCCGTGGTTCCTTTTCAAAATACATTGCACATTGGAATCAAAGCGATCGATCAATCATTTCTGGTCATCGCCAAGTGTGTGCAGATGGAAAAGTAAGTCGTCAAGAAGCCCTCAGCTGGCCTTAATATTTTCATCGTACTACTAGAGAAGCCCTAAGTCTAGCTATCCGCAAGGGCTTATTACAAATTAAAATACTTTACTGTGGACTTTGATGAGTTTGCAGGAAACTGAGACGCATTTGGGAAAACTCAAACGTGCCTGAAAGGGTGGAAATTTGTTTTCTTTAATCTTTGTTCATCCTAAACAACACGGCGCATTGCATATGTTTTTTTGTCGGAAATAATAGATTAAGAATCCAAATAAAGAAGATTAAACTGTTACTAAAAGGATGAAAAAAATTTGAGCACGAAATGGCTAAAGAAGAAAAAGGCCTGTCACCTAATTACTAGCCTGGCATGTATTTTTTTAGACTTTGACAAGTCTTCTTTCATAAAAGATCTCTACAAACATGTTCCAATGAAAAGCCTGTCGGTCCAAGTTGAGCCGCTAAAAAAAAAAAGTGATTAGCAATAAAATTTAGTTACAAAATTTTTATTTAACAAAAAAAAAATTGTTCTGTCACTAATTAAATTAGTGACAGAATTACATCCCTAATTAGTGATAAAAAAATTTTCTATCCCAAACTAGTGACGAATTAGTTAAGAAAATTTTTTGCTACTAATTAGTGACAAAAAACTTTTATCCCTAATTTGTTGTTAATCTAAAATTTTAAAATGCCACTTGTCACCTGTGATAGTCGCCGGCTACCACTACGTGCCATCACCAAATGATGCCTCATCAGATGTGACTTCTTCATAGCCCAAATAAAGGACCTTATATGCCTATATTTGTCTTTATTAGTTAAGTTGCGATGAACCTACAAATTTTAAAGTAAAATTATATATATAAAATATTTTTTTACCCAAACAATTATATATACACATATATCTATCATTAAAAACTAAAAATAAATTATATAATAATTTTAATTTTTATTATGACAAAAAAATTTTAAATATTTGTTTTACTATTTATTTTATAACGTTTTATTTCTTTTAAAAATTATTTTTAACATAATATTAATTTCAAATGAAACTAATCTTAAATTTTAAATCATAAATAATTTTTTACAAATAATTTTTTTAAAATTTAATTTTTATTTTTAATTAACATTGATAATATGTATTATATTTTTAAAAATTTACTCACAAATTTTTTGACGAATTAGCTACATAATGAAATTATAAATTTGGGAAGACAAAATAGATCAAAATTTTATATTTAAAATCAAAATAAATTTTTATCTAGCTTTTATATTTATATCTAGAAGTGGAACTAAAATAATACACGCCTCTCCCAGTGAAATTGACGCAGGAAGCTTCACCAAGTTTGTCATATTGTTCACTGAGTTGGTCCGCTCTTTGCAGCGAAATCAAAATGAGAAATGGAAAAATGAAAATATCATCACATCATGGAGAGAAGTCTATTAACTCTCTGATTGTGTAGTGTTTGTCACACTGTCCATTGAATTGGCTCATTCTATGGAGCAAAGCCAAAATGAGAAATGGAAAAGTGAATTAATTATCACATCATGAAAAAAAAAAAATTTATGCCTAAGTCTTATTTCGAAAATATCCCTAGCTCCAATAACTTAATTTTGACGTTGACTCACACAAGACCTATTTTACAAGCTCTCAACCATAGGAACTGTGATTACGGGAGAGATTCATGATAATTGACTTTATATTGCAAAGTAATTTATTTATGAGTAAAATTCTCTTCAAAAAATAATTGATATTTGGGACAAAATCTAAAATGTTAAACTATTGTAAAACAATTTCTCTTAGCATTTATAAAATGGCTAACTCTAAAGTACACTGCCTCCAATAATTAATATAAGAGATAGTTGACATATTTGAGTAAATTAAGAAAATTAATTTAGTTATATGAAATAAATAGGTGTTGTCTTTTTTAAAATATCCTTGCTGATCAAATATATTGGTTAGACTACTATTATTATAAAGACTATCTTAAAAAAATATATATACACAAATATGAAGATATCATCACATCATGGAGAGAAGTCTATTAACTCCCAAGTTGTGTGGTGTTTGTCACACTATCCACTGACTTGGCCCATTCTATGGAGCAAAGCCAAAATGAGAAATGGAAAAGAAAATTAATTATCACATCAGGGAGAAAAGTCTATGCCAAAGTCTTATTCCAAAAATATCCCTAGCTCCAATAACTTAATTTTGACGTTGGCTCACACAAGGCCCATTTTACACGCTCTCAACCATAGGAACTGTGACTAGAACAGGGATTCATGACAATTAACTTTATATTGCAAAGTAAACTATTTATGTGTACTTCGGTTTTTAAAAAAAATATTTATGTGTAAAATTCTCTTAAAAAATAATTGTGACCTGGGACAAAATCTAAAATGTTAAACTATTTTAAAACAATTTCTCTTAGTATTTATAAAATAGCTAACTATAAAGTATATTGCTTCTGATCTTTCATATAAGAGCTAATTGACTATTTTGAGTAGATTAAGTTAATTATGTGGAATAAATAAGTGGTATCTTTTCTAAAATATCCTTACTAATCAAATATATTGGTTAGAACTACTATTATTATAAGGACTATCTTAAAAAAAAAAAAAACTACAATGAAGATATTATCACATCATGGAGAGAAGTCTATTAACTCCCAAGTTGTGTGGTGTTTGTCACACTGTCCATTGACTTGGTCCACTCTATAGAGCAAAGCCAAAATGAGAAATGAAAAAGTGAAATAATTATCATATGATGGAGAAAAGTCTATGCCTAAGTTTTATTCCAAAAATGTTCCTATCTCCAATAATTTAATTTTGACGTTGACTCATACAAGACCCATTTTACACACCCTCAACCATAGGAACAATGATTAGGGGAAAGATTCATGATAATTAACTTCACGTTGCAAAGTAATTTATTTATGTGAAAAATTCTCTTAAAAAATAATTGTTATTTGGGACAAAATCTAAAATGTTAAACTATTTTAAAACAATTTCTCTTAGTATTTATAAAATGGCTAACTATAAAGTATACTGCCTCCGATCTTTAATATAAGAGCTAGTTGATTAATTTGAGTAGCAAAAAAACTAGTTAAGTTAGTTATTTGAAATAAATATGTGTTGTCTTTCCTAGAATATTTTTACTAATCAAATATATTGGTTAGACCTGTTATTATTATCAGGACTATCTTAAAAAAAATTGAATGAATATAGAAAGATGAAGATATCATCATACTATGGAGAGAAGTCTATTAACTCCCAAGTTGTGTGGTTTTTATCACACTGTCCATTCACTTAGTCTACCCAATGGAGCAAAGCCAAAATGAGAAATGAAAAAGTTAATTAATTATCACATCATGGAGACAAGCCAATGCCTAAGTCTCATTCCAAAAATGTCCCTATCTCCAATAACTTAATTTTGA